AGGGGGTGTGTGTGTGGATCTGTGCGTGTTTCTTATGTTTGGCTGAACACACACTACAACGTTAACACAATGTATTATTAGGTTAACAAATACACAGAAGGCTAATAGGTTTGTATTGGAATTATAATTAAAACAGTGTGCAGCGGTGCATGTCTTCATAACTTCAGGCTTCATCACGAGGCACAACAGACCGGCGGCCTGTTGTTTAATAAAGGATTGCTTGGCCTGTGTACATAGAGACGATAGATAACACTGCACTGACACTGGCTCATGGGACACAGCAGAGACACAGCAGAGACACAGCAGAGACACAGCGCCTTAGTCTGATAGCTGCTACTGAACATTGCTTTATTCAGATCAACTCTGAAAATACATTTGTATTTTTGCATGCTAATATGAAGACAACAAATGATTAAAAGGAAGAAAGTTAAGAAACACAAAATCTGCAGTATTTGCCCTCAGATCTGCTGCCAACACAAAGGCTATTTTCAATGTGTTCACTCTAATCTCAGTACGAAGCAAGCAACAAATGAGTCTTTGGACTTCATGGAGAAAAATGGTATTAAACTTTACTCGTGAGGAATAGAGATTTTCAGGCGAGGTGATGAAACTACTAAATGTACACCTCAGGCAACTGCACTAATATATATTTAATAATGTAAAAAACATGATTGTACGCCACTGATTTATCATGAAAATCCATTTGCTGTATCTGAACAAAGCCCAAGGCTAAGAACATTTCGTAAGTGAAGCCTTTTGTCATTGAATGGAATAAAACAACCTATGCTTTGTTCTTCAAACATTCTCAGTGAGAAAGAGGCATAAACCTTATGACACCATACAGAACACCCGGTCAGAACGACGGCTTGAGTTCAGGCAGTTTGAATCCTCGCAAATCCTGCAAGAAATTCACATATCGACCAAAACCAACATGGATGGCACCTAGCAGTGGTTGCGCTGAAAAGGCCATAAACGGAGCATAGCATTTACGGCATCTGGCAACATGGACAGTAAAGTATACAAAGAAAAGGTGAGACTTTTTAAACGGCAAAGTTCACATTAAAGTGAGCGGTTTATTTATCTGTGCTCCCTCGGCAACACACTAGTTATGTCATCTTCACAAATAACATACAATGAATGATTTTCAAGTTAACAACTTTCCGAAAGTCTCAATTCCCAGACTACAACCGACAGGTCCAGCTTGGTCCAATCGGTCATTGCGCTCAAAACATATCTATTGTTGCTTCAACAGCTCTAATGTTTTTGTAGGGTAATGGTTTACGAAAGTTTCTATCATTCTCCGTGCCATTCTCTCTTTCCAACTTTCCAGATGTGTCATTTGTGTTCCTAAAGCATATAGAGGAAAATCAAAAGAAATACAAATCATTTAAAAGGGTAATGATGAAATGATGTAGACACTCATGCGTGCACAGCATATTTCTCTTTTTCTACCTATTTTTGTCTCCATCCTCTCCAATTACTGGTTCTCTACTCTCCCTCTGTCTCCTGTACAGCACCAGCTCAGTCATTCGCTGACAGCCTGCCACCTGCTGAAGGGGAAGTATGTGAGTGTCTTTGTAAGAAACACAAAAGTGTTTACTCGGATAGTTTTAAAATACAGAAGTGTCCGAGAGCTTGGACGTGTCAATGCATCAGTACGAGAACAGGACAGTGTGTGTGTGTGTGTGTGTGTGTGTGTGTGTGTGTGTGTGTGTGTGTGTGTGTGTGTGTGTGTGTGTGTGTGTGTGTGTGTGTGTGTGTGTGTGTGTGTGTGTGTGTGTGTGTGTGTGTGTGTGTCTCAGAAGTCAGCACTGCATGCAATGTTTATCCACCACATATTGAGCAGTGCTGACCAGAAGGCCCCAACGGAGCCATTGGACCAGCTGCTGTGATACTGGCATACACACAACACACTCATAAACACCTCTCTCACTCGTACACACACACACACACACATTCTCTCATCCCCACACATACACACACACACACACATTCTCTCATCCCCACACATACATCATCCTATGGCAGCCTTTCCATTTTGCTCCTCTCCTCCACCTTACGCCTCATCAGACATATTATAATTAGCCGTACTGAGTAATTAACATCCAAATTAGGACAATAATTTGCATCTCTACCCTCATTTGCATAAACGCCCGGCAGCACACAGACCTGAAATTCCTCCACACTCGTCAGTACAAAGCACAAGAGTGCTCAGTCTTTTTTCACACAATTGCCCACATTCAGGCAGACATTTTAACATTTCACAAACATGCATGTTGTTCTACTCTGTGAGGCATTAGAGATAAAAAAAAAACAGAGAAAGTACAGGAGAAGGTTTGCGATGGAGGGAGTTTGGAGTTTGGAGGGAGAAAAGGAACAATGGGAGTACAATTAGGAGAAAATCTGGACAGGGAAAGGCAGAGAATATAAATGGGACAGAGGAAGTAGTCGGTAATAGAGGTACCTGGGATGGAGTGGGAATGTGACACTCTCCAGATGAGGCAAAGTAAGACAGAAAGAGCACCGCCTCACCGTTTATACAACCCACTTAAGCCCATACAACTTTGGAATTGAATCCAGGGCAGTGGAGAGAGAAAGAGAAGCAGCTCTGGAAATCAGAATGAGGTTGCACCAGCCTCTCTCTCGATCCCCTTCCTCTGACATTTGCCCTCTGAATAGCATCAGCTCAACAGAGCAAAGCAACAAACAATGGGAGAGTCAAAGGGAGAGAGGGAGAGAGAGAAACGTGGGAGAAAAGAAAAGAGAAAAAAAGGGCATAAATGATAGTAAAGAGGAAAAGAGTGACAGGACGGGCCCAGCCGTTCCTGCCAGACATTGTTTCACCAGTCATTGCACCGAAGAGGAAAACCTGAGTTATGCTGCTGCGTTCCACATCGCATTCACGATTTATGTTCCAGCGAGGATAATGCAGCTAGACGGCTCTGTTGAAAGACACCCATAAATCTCATCTTGTTTTCCATTTTTTTTTTTTTCTCCTCCTTTCTTTTTCTTTCAGCACCCCTTCAAATCCTCTTGTTTTGTGTTGTTTGGCATTCATCTGCTCAGGTCTATTTCCTGACTTATGTAAAGGTATTCAGCGGCAAGCCTTTGTCTCGTGTACGTACTGTATTCTGCTGAGCTTGTAGAGCTTGTAAATGCTAAATCAAAAACTCACTCTCTGTGTCTTTGTTATACAGCCAACAAACATCCAGGGCCTTCATCTATTCCTTTTTTTGAATGTGATGAGGAAGTGGCTTTACTTAACAATACACAGGTTTATCAAATCTTATTAAATTACTATCATTCCTGACAATAATGATAAAATCCAATTTATCCATTCCATAAAATATTTGGTATAGGGATGTTTTCATTATTTCATGATTGATTAACCTGAATATTACCTCCTGTCCAAAACCTTAAGATGTTAAATATAATATGAACTGGAAATCCCTGGCTGAAAACAGCATTTTCCACAATATTTCATGAACAATTATTGACTATAAAAATAGTAGGCAATATTTTCTGTCCATCGAGTAATCATTGCAGCTCTAGTTTGATAACAATATACTTGGCCTTGAGACAAGCAGATTACGCATTGCATAGCTGATGACAACTGTCTGTAGTAATCAAAGCTGCGTTCACACTTCACAAAACAGGCTCTTCTCTGTAAACTTAGTGTCTAAACCTACTTAGCCTTCCCTCTGGCTCCCGGCCAGATGGAGGTCTTTCATAAACAGGGAAAATAATGATAATGTTTGGTTGAGCGCAGACAGCCAGTCAGCCCCGCGCTCTCACTCCAGAGACCCAATTAATACCACTGTAAACCGCCGCTGCCCTTCAGAGGCAACACCAGTCAGGTGCAGGTGCAGGTGTGTGTGTGTGTGTGTGTGTGTGTGTGTGTGTGTGTGTGTGTGTGTGTGTGTGTGTGTGTGTGTGTGTGTGTGTGTGTGTGTGTGTGTGTGTGTGTGTGTGTGTGTGTGTGTGTGTGTGTGTGTGTGTGTGTGTGTGTGTGTGTGTGTGTGTGTGTGTGTGTGTGTGTGTGTGTGTGTGTGTGTGTGTGTGTGTGTGTGTGTTTGAGAGAGGGAAAGTGATGTTTGAGAGCATCACAGGGTGAGGATGTGATTTAGTGCTACACCCCGACCGTGGCTGCCCTCCCCGAGCACTAATCGATTATCATAGTTAGAAATCATCTCCAGATCACTGGCCAACCAGACAGTCATGACCAGGAACATAAACCTCGGATATATATAAATGTCATGTTAATAGTGTTAATCTTCAAGAGCAACTGGGGCATGCTATAGGTTGCCAAGTCATAATATTATGTAAAGAATAGTTTCCTAGTAACCTCTAGGGGTGATGTTATTACTATTGAGCCAATATGTTTTTCTATATTAAGTATCATGCTATTATCAGAGCTGAACAATGCGATATAATTGGTAATTTTTCAAGTAAAATAACAACAGTTTAAATTGGACATTTGTGAGTACCTGCTGCTTTTAGTTGTCTTATGCAATGTCACATTTGAATACATTTAGGAGCATACGACGTTATCTTGGGTTGTAGGGAACAGTAATGGGTTAAAAAGTAGATGAGTAATCTACTAATTTGTCATTTTAATTATTCTTTATTTGTATATTAGCGTCTTGGTGATCATTCATCAATTTATTTTATATACCCCCTCTCACAACACATTACAGTGAAACTACGTAGCGTTATAACAAGCTCCAACTTCCCACCCAGCTGAACACCTGTCCCGCTAATTGCCCTGTCCATCTTTGCTTGAACTTTGAGTAACTACGCATTGATGCACGAAAGCAAGCTACTGAATATTATGGAAAACTTAACTAGAAAGAGACAAAAACACCTAAATGGCGATGAAGTTGTTGGACGGACGGTAAGTGCCCCCTTTCCAACTTGTGCAACTCAAACGCGAAAACGCAGTCAAACATTTCGAAGACAAATTGTTTTTTTGTTCATCTTTTTCTTTTTCATGTTCCTACCTTTTCCGCCGAGAGCGCAGGAGTGGCCCCAGATGAGGCATAACAGCAAAAAAGGCAGCCCAAGTATCTGCATGGTGGTGGAGCAGAGTGTGTGATGTCTCCCTTCCTCTTCTCGTTCCAAATCCTAGATCCCCTCCCGAGCGCGAGGATGTTTTCAACTGTTCGGGTGCGCGAGGGACAGGTAGAGAGACAGCCACTGGGTGTTGTGAGCAGAGAGAGAGGGAAACACGTTCTACCATCGTCGATACAACACAGGTTCCGGTTTTTGGTTTTCAAAATAAAACACAATCGATTGTAGATGTTGAATAACTTCAGATAAGGGTATCTAAACAACACTGAATACACACAAAGTCAGAATGAATGTATTTAATTAAATCTAGTTCGCATTCTGATAATCATGGCTGTTTTTAAATAGATTTTCCGCTAAGCATGACACATTGTACACATTTATTTTGAAGGATAAAGCGCCCCTTTCAGGCAAAATATGTCCTTGTTTTGCAATCTTGACATGGCAGTAAATGAGAGCTAGAGAAGAAGCAAGAGAGAGATTGGAGGGAGTACAGGGAGGGGATCTGTCTGAGATGAGTGTGAATTTGTGTTTGGTGTTAAGAGGGGAAAGGATTGATTTTGACGCCCAAGGAAGGGCAGCTGAAACTGAGAATTTGCTGTCAGTGATTGCATTTCTCTACAAGAATACAGCTTTTCAATCAATTCAATAAACCCCAAGCTATGGCTAGGCATGGCTGTAAAAGCTAACCACATATCCTATAAAATAAAGCAATGATTACTTTATTATTGGAGCTAGAGGATAACACCATCTTAAGCACACACACAATTATTTCAACACATGGAACAGCTTCTTAATCAGTATTTTCCAACCTACTTGTCTTGGCCATTCAATCAAAGAGCAATGCCTAATACTTCCTCCTGAATATTTACCTGAATAAAAGTACAAGGAACAAGTTTACTTTTGATGTTTTTGCAACACGTTGCTGATTTCAACCTGCTGGTCATTGTAGTGTTCAGTTTATTAGCTGTTTCCCTCCACTAAGTGCCTGTGAAAGTGAGGCTACATTTGGGAAATGAAAAAAAAAAAGGTTTCTCTTTAATTAAGGAGAAACTTGAACCGTGGATTTTTTTTTCATTTTCTCTCAGTGATAATTCTTTCATAATCTAATGAAGCAGCTGCTACAGTATGATGTTTTCCCAGCTGTATCCTCCTAACAAGAGCCCGAAAAGCGCAGCTATACTCCCCCTCACAGATTTGAGTCTTTCAGTTTTCACCCTGTGGCAGAATCACTGTTTTTTTTTCTAACGGCCGTATATTCTTCAATTATTCCCCCATGCTTCTTCCTCTGGTGTGGGTGTGTGTTCTGGGGATTAAAGAGAGAGAGAGAGGGTAGACCTCAAGTGAGTTAAGAGGATAACAAAGATAGAACAGACACACACACATGCAGACAAACACATGCAGGACCACATTTACATGCACACACAGTCACTTACACACACATACTCCCAATTGGCTGTTTCCATGGGTATTGCCAGCTAAGTTACAGCAGAGCAGTGACGGGGGAAAGATGGTGTATTGAGCAGATTTTCCTGCTACCAAGCAATCAGCTTAGCAAACATTCAGGACAGAGGACAGACGGAACATTTCACTGTTGCATCACGGAAGAACTTTGTGTTCTGTTGTTGTAAATGTTTTCCACATATTCCACAAGCTGCTTCTTTGAGTTTCCATTTATAGCACCTGTATTCTCAAGCTAGTCGAAAACACTTTGAACTTTGAAAAAGCACATTTTAACCCTGAGATATTGGATAGTTCAAGCAATAACCCTCCTCCAAATTAACCAAGGTATATATCAATACTACACTCCAAAACAATCCAAACCAGAAAATGTTCCTTCATGCTCCTGCCCAAAATAAATCACTGTTAGATTATTGGGTGAGACAAACCCCTCTCTCCTGGTCTGAAAGGATTTGTTCATTTTATCTGATACAGACTGATCAGGCGAGACAATACCAGCTTTTAGCCCAGATATATGACAGTATTTGTTTCTTCACAAAGACAGACACATTCTTACCTTAAAGTCTTGAGAAAGTAATTCATTAATGAACCAACAATCAGAAGGCTTCAGTTCATTGGCTGAGCACTAACAGCGTTAACTATACAATGAAACAGGTTGTTTTCGCATGCATACTGTGCAATGCTTAGGTGGAGTCAACAGTATCTTCTAGTGAAGGGTTATATATCAACAGTCTGTGAAAAAACATAGCTTTTATTTTAACCTTTGCATTCTTTTTAATGTTATTCCTGTTCCTGGGCAACAAAGCATGAAAAGCCACTGACTATACAGCTATTGTCAGATGGTCAATTAGTGTTTAACAACGCTTTTCCTCACCATTTGACAAGCAGTTAACAACAACGGAATGAAAGGTTACCAGGAGCATGTAGGTGTTTGACGCTGCATCGCTTTAAAGGTCAGTTTATGATTACAGTAGGTTTATTCTGGGAAGACAATGCGCTCACCCATAAATGAACAACAATGTATTAAAATAAATTCAGTAACATACTTATTGTTGGTTTCAAACAAGTATCTATTTTGTGTAATTAAAAACACTTGCCAGTATGTCAGTACCATGGAGAGTTCCGTCGCTTTGCTCCATTTTGTTCCCTTCCTCCGCCAGGGGTCGCACTTCAGCCAGTTTCTCTCTGCGGAACCATCGAGTAACAGCTCCTCAGAACGGGGAGAGGAAAGAGTGTGACACACTTACCATACGAAGGTAAACAAATGATCTATTATTCCTGCCTGCACATGGTATTGTGTTTTTGTTTTATCACAGTTTGAAGTGACCACTTTTCACTCTCGTTCATTCATTCACCCGAATGTGTGTTTGTCGCTTAGCATATATTTATGTTCTGCTGGGCTAATCAATGTTAGCTGCTTTTCAATGTCAATGCTTCCTTGACTAAACGAGTAAGTGTTTGCTGTCCTTAAATTGCAATGTCACAACTGCAAAAATCCACAGCAACTCCTTTTTTATTTTTCTAAATTCGTAAAGCCTTATAGCTGACCTGCGATAGACGACAGTCTCTCTGGTCTGCTGCATGCTGTATGATCCTGTCACATGCCCCGGTCTAACTATCAGGATCCTACAGGAAGTTAATCATGATGTACATTCAAAAGCAATTAACCCCTAACCCCTGAAAAACTGAATTCATTATTGACCATTTGCTGTGTAGTCACATAAGGTCAAAACATACTATAAGCCTAAAGTAAACATATATGTAAAGTTATGGCTTCCTTATCTAAAACACCCACTGCATACAGTAGACCTGCGCTCCTAGTGCAAATCAATATGAACCTTTGTATTAATCAATAAATAAGTACATGTATAAATACATTTGCTGTGTATCGCACTTCTAAAACAAAAAACATTTGGGGAAAAGTAAAACCAAAGCAATACTGTTATATAAGACAGGATGTAAAATCCAATTGTTGAAAAAAGAGTGTATAATAGTGCATAACCGGCACAAAAACAAGAGCACACACATTTAGAGGAAACATAAATTACTGTTGTTACCTGACAGAGCTTTATTATGTGAATAGTGTGTGATCACACAGGATGACACTATATACAAGTATTTTAGTGCATTATACATTGTACATAACGGTAACTAGTAGTTTACTAACAATTTCCATGTTTAAAGCTACATGAGGGGGGCACTAACAGAGATCAGATGGAAATCTTTCCAGCTGATGTGTGGACAGGGTCTGATATTAATTAGGTGTTTTTACACATTGATGTACACATTAAAATGAAATGCCCCTGCAGTTGTTCTGCTCCTGCAGTGCATGACTCCAGCAAAAAAAGCAGCCAGATTTATTTTTGCCAGTGTTACTCGCTGCTTTGTGTGTCCCAATGATAAATGGGCACAGAATGGCCATGCTATGGGTCATTGCTCACTTGGACCACCTATACTAACAGTACTCATACATCGTAAGGTGCCTTGTGATTAAAAAACTCCCACCAAATGACAAATAGGTTCTTGTGGTGAACTAAGGGAACCTCTGCAGAATGTAACAGCAGCAGGAGTACTTAAAAGTAGAACATAACTTGTAGATACATACAGTCTACAGAACACACACTCATGCTATCTTCCTTCAGTCTTCTCCCCTTTGCATCTCATCGTCTTAATCCCTCAATGTTAATAACTCTTTCTTCTGCTTCCAGCCAAGGTTTGATGACTGTTGTGTGAGGGGTAAACCAAGATGGCCACCCGCCGTATTCCACTGGTCCTGCTAGCCTGCGGCTCCTTTAATCCCATCACCAACCAGCACATGAGGCTCTTTGAGCTGGCCAGAGACCACATGCACAGCACAGGTATGGTTTTATATTGTCTGGTTTATTTGACTTTTTGTATCTGAAAACCCTCAGGGCCAAAGGAGCTTCTGGGTAATGTCCACCAATTAATATTCTTTATGTTTACAATAAATCAAATGACTGTGTGTATTGTAAAAGAGGTTGCTCGCAGTAATTAACTAACACAGAATTATGAGCCAACAGCTCCACAGAGGTTTTTTTAGAGTCACATCATTATTTTTATTTTATGGCCTGCAAATGTTTGGTTCAGTGTCCTCACTTTCATCAGCCTTGCTTCCAGCAGCAGCAGCAGCAGCAGGCAGCTGTTTTCAGCTAACAAGCCCAGATAAACCTTCTGTCTGTGGTCTAAATAAGCACCAGATATACAAAGTCAGAAACTCACTAGCGGGATAAGAAAGTTAACAATGCAGAGTTTGTCTCAGGAGTTGGTTAAATCTGAAAGCTCAAGAGAGATTAAACCTGCCATAAACAAACTCTAAAGGAATGTTAATGTTGCTCTTTGCCTTCCTTATGTGAAAGTAGGTTATTTGCTAGCACATTAGGCATATAGGGCAATGACAGGGCTTTGTTTTTCAGCTTGTTGTGCAGCTTTAAACACCCAACATATTTGTGTTTGAATCAAGTATGAACAGGGGTTGAATTGGGCCGGGGCTGCGTGCGTGTGCGTGCGCGTGCGTGCGCGTGCGTGCGCGTGCGTGCGCAGACAGTCTGCAGCGGTACCGCCAAACCCCCGACCCGTCTTGTGACACAGAGCCCGTTTCCTACACCATCAGGGCCGGTTCTAACCAATTTGCTGCCCTATGCGAGATTTTAGCTGGCGAAATGATTTCAAACCTGTTTATCCCAATAATTATAAAGGAGTGCCTTGGAAATATTTGTTTACATAAATTGCATTTATCTCTCTCGCTCGCTCCCACGCCCACTTTAGCTGTGAGCTGCGGACGCCTGATAAGCCAACACCCCTGCACTTTCATCACTTACAGCGCCCATCGTACAGGGCAAATTAAAAGTGTAACTGGGGTGAAAAGGGTGTTACATTTACTTGCCGAAAATTAGGATGAGCGCAAACAGTCAAAAATGTTTTTTTCCCTCCCAGAGCTGCCAGCGCAGCGCCCCCCCAGATCTGGCGCCCTAGGCGACCGCCTATGTCGCCTATGCCAAAAACCGGCCCTGACTTAACCTAACAACTTATTTAATTTGTTATCACAATTACTAATGTCATGTTTTTTTTTTATTCTTGAAGAGAATGTCTTTTTTTCTGGCATTCTTCCAGGATTAACAAAAATAAGAATAACATTGAGAAAATCTTTGAAGTAAATGGCTGTTGTTAAACGCTTCCCACATTTACTTCAATCGTTCAGTAGAAAAGATAAACGTATCCAAGGAATACACAATAGAATATATAAAGAATAAATGAAAAATCTCTACAAAAGACAAATACACTACAAAAACAGAAACTTATTGACATAGGTAAAATACATCAAAAAGGCTTCAAATGTATTCAGTATTGTATGAACATGTTTGAATTGGGGGGTGGACATCACCTCCTCTAGGGGGGTCCGAGGGTATGCCCCCCCCCCGGGAAGAAATGTTTGAACATTTGAAAGTAAAATGCTTCAATCTGGTGCACTTTGAGCACACAATTACTAGAGACTAGATCTGGGGGTACAACTCTAAACACCCATATGAAAAAGATCGGTTTACATTTTAATAATCAAATAAGTATGTGAACATAACCAATAACATACCACAGCCCTCTCGCACCTCCACACAGAGCCCCCCCACATATAAAATTCCAACTTAACCCCTGAGTATGAATAATAATATTTATATATATACAACTAGTCATTTTTATGATGCTGCAGGGCCCACGTTTCACTAGACAATGTAACTATGATGTCAGCAAACACAGTCTCCTTTATATAAACCCAGGTCCAAAGCTGCTCTGAATAAGAGTCCCGGCACGGTCACATGGTCACAACGACATCATTATACCGTAACTGGTCCTGAGTCAGCTCCCACTCTTAAGATGCTTTGTGTAACTATGCACTGTGTAACATTTCAGTGGGCAGGAACTGAGAATAACGCTCTTACCATTTCCCTCTGACCCCTCACCTATAAGATCAGTTGACTAGTTTGAGTGTAACAATAGGAAAAGTACTGTTCTTGTGATGCAGGTGCAAACACATCTGTTTTTGAAACATGTTTTTTATAAACACTAGATTTAACACAATTAGCTTCTCTAGTTTAGTTGTCCAAACATGTAACATATGTATACTTATTTTGATCAAAGGGTCAGAAATGGCAGACCTTTGCTACATCCCTTAAATAAATTCAAGGTTCTTTATTGTCAATCTGACATAGCTACAGAGTAATTATGCAGTTGAAAATCTTATGTCACAGGCTTCTCCAACAATGCAACATAATAACATAACATAATAACAATAAGAGCAAGAGCAATACAAAAATAATAATAGTTATAAAAATGAAATAAAGTTATGATGTGGAATAGTGCAGTATGAGTCTATATACAAGTTATTGGAATGATATATATATATTAGGTATTAGATACATACTACTGAGTAGCAGTTGAATGTTTGAAGTTGTTTCAACAGTTCAATTTTTTTTAAATAAAGCAGCTTAATTAAATGTAAAACCCTAAATCTATGTAGCATGAAGAAACAACCTGTCATTTATGGCCCACTGTGGTAATAGCTGGGTTTTCCCTTTTCACAGTTTAGGAAAAGTAAAGGGAAATAACAAGAGTCCTTGTTCTTTTGGGGAACAAAGAAAAGTATATTGTTATGAATTAAGTATTGTTTACCTTTTCCTATCAATTAGCTTTTTAACCATAAAATACTAGTCTCCACCTGCAAGGTGTATAAACATCACCAATAAATAGAAAGTATAAAAGATAATTTTGTACAAAACAAATCTTTTAAATCTATTCCAACATTGGGAATTGCCGGGTCAAATATAACCCTAACCCTGGTGTACAGCTTTCAATTGTTATTTTCTGTAATGTTAGTTACAACAAATCATTGGTGTTATTTACCCTTAAGACAACTCAATGGTTAAAGGAGTTTCAAATCGATTACACAGTATGAGCTGTAAGTAATGACATTGTTCGATAACCCTGTTTTAAATACATCAATCATAGCATGTGTCTTCAAATGTGAGATCTGAAGAAACACTAATAATATTAACCTGAGTATCTCACAGGTCTTTGTCTACTGATTTATATTCTGGGTCTGTATCGACTGTCATGGTCCAGATAACACTGTATTAATCTTCCTCTCTCCCTTCAGGCCAGTACCAGGTGGTGGGTGGCATCGTGTCTCCAGTCAGTGATGGCTACGCAAAGCAAGGCCTGGTTCTGGCTCAGCACCGTATCGCCATGGCAAAGCTGGCGCTGCAGAGCTCCGACTGGGTCACGGTTGATGAATGGGAGAGCCAGCAGGCAGACTGGACAGAGACCGTGGTCACCATGAGGTGTAAAACAAGTGTATAGCAACATTAGAGTTCACTTCGCTTCATTTATTAAAGGTTACATGCACACATTTGTAGGATAATGTCAGCCTGCATGTCATTTTAAGATGAAATGGTGTGTGCAGCTAGTCAACACATTAAGACCTTTCATTAATAATAAAATAAGTGTCCCGTACTGTGTTTTTGTGTTGACAGAACCAAGCACATCTTATTTCCAGTTTATATCCACCACCCAGTAGCTGATAATTGCTTCTATTAGCTTTTACTCTCATCTGTTACCTCTGTTATAGTTTTCTTTGCTGACATCATCAAGTTTCAGCACAGCACCAGCAGAGTTAACAGAGTTGCTCCTCCGCTCGCCCTGCTCCTTGCCAACCTTAACTATATATACAGCAGTGTGTTGCCAGGTTCTGGTCTCTTGTAGGCCTGCCAGACTAGACTGTTTTTCATGAGGTGAAATAAGGGGCACCTGCTGTTAAATTCACTGGCAGAGATGGGATGCTGTAATTGCAAATGGCTACTTTGGACATGAGTATGTGCGAAAAGAGACAGGCATAGGTGCTATGAATAAGGCATGTCCCAGTTTACTATGCAGAAATGTGGAAGGTATTTGCAGCTGGTTCTTTTCAAGAATTCAGCCCAAGTGAATAGGGCTGCAGCTATTGATTATTTTCAATAAAGTGAAATAAGGCCATCCAAGTTACTCAAAGTCCGAGCGGATTTCTTCAAATGTATTGTTTTGTCAGTCCAAACCCAATAAGACATTCAGATGTATATATTAAACAGACAAGCAGAACATGAAAGGCTGAAAACAGCATTTTCTGCATAAAAATGCCCTTTAATGATTATCAAAAAAGTGTGCCATTATTTGTTTTGCCCAAGTCAACTAACCGTTGCAGCTCTGAAAGGGAATGAATGATGTAATGGATTTGTTTTACCTTACTCTGTGTATTACTGCACAAACTTAATCATTATTCAGGCTTATTTTTAGAAAGGTCTCTTACACTTCATTGTACTTCTTCCGCTTTATTAATTCTCCCTCTCTCCTGCTTCGGATTTCTTACAAATCCCCTCATGAGTGTTTGCGCAACAAGGGTGCTGATCAAGGCATGAAGTGGCCTGTTGTTATCCATGTCACAAGTCCTCACACACACATGCACACACACACACGCATGCACGCACACACGCACACACACACACACACACACACACCCACCTTCTAGAACACCTATAAGAGGCTTAACTTGAAAAATAGTTTTATTTCTATTTTTAAAAGTTCCTCTGTCAAGCATCAATCTTTTTTCCTTTAATTATTCAGTTCAGTTTGATAAAGATTTCTATGCATGATGTTTATATTAAAATGTTGTCCATTAATGAAAAGAATTAGGCAAATTATGTTTTAATACTTGACTAGTTACTGGTGACAAGATGAATAAATAAATAAATATAAATACTCAATATTAGTAAGGAAAATCTATGTATTACCATTACCAAAGACATGAATCGTAATCTTTGCTTGTCATGCAGGTATCATTATGGCCGTATCTTGAAGGAGTATGAGCGGAGCACAGGAGAGCACAAAGACTCCAGTGGAAACCCCTCTCCCCTCTCAAGTAAGAACCTCTCACTGTTGTGAACTTGCGATCAGCTCAGAAACCCTTTGACCTCTGTCGGTTTCCGGCATTATATATCTGGTGTTAATCTGTGGCGTTGGGTGGGAATTTCTCTATTATTGAGATGGCAATGTTTGATTGGTTCACCATTTTGGTCAGAGTAAATGTAAACGTATTTCATGATTTCCCATGAAATTGAATACATATATCATGCTCCCCAGAGGATGAACACATCCCTTTGTGTCGAACCACAGCCTCACAGATTCACTGTCACTGAGTGGTTGTAGCCTCTTAAGGCCTATATACAAATGACATTCTTCCAAATTACCAAACACACAGTGCCTGATTTTTTGAGTATATTCCTTCATCACGTCTTTGCCAAGCCCTCTACAGAGTTGGGGTTAAGGATTTGCGTCAATACCACATAATGGGCCTGTGCTCCTGACCAACAGTGATTAGAGAGTATTAGGGATAGGTTTAATACTTTGAAAACTTTTGTGCATGTGTGTTGTATAACTGAAAGCAATACAATTAGTGTTCAGGAACAACATCCAACAACTAAACAACCATGAAAACATCTATCAAACAATATTATGATTTTAGTTTTGTCTTCTAATCAAAAGCCACATGTTTAGCTTTAGCCTTCAGCCCCATAGATATTTAAGTAATGTATTTCTTTACAACTAGTTAATCAGATCTAGTGATGTCAGGTCAAGACTCAAATACAACTTTTTCCATTATTATAGGATTGCCAACTTTTGTAGTTTCATTGTGAAGTTGGCAAACACCAACTGAAATATTTCCATGAATTAAAAACCAGCACCATCTGAGGAATATGTAACTCTTTGCCATTATACAGTATAACATATATATATATATATATATATATATATATATATATATATATATATATATATATTCAAGAAGTACCTTTGGCCCCTCATTGCGCATCAACTTTTTTTCCTGAACTTTATTCCATGCTATGTTTTATAATTTTATTTTTATGATAAATATCAGTCACCATTTCTCCGCCCTCTCCCCTCAGGCCCCTGTTCCCAGTTGAAGCTCCTGTGTGGAGCTGATTTCCTCGACACTTTCCAGGTCCCTGACCTGTGGCTGGACGACCACGTTGAGGAGGTGGCGGGACATTTCGGACTCATCTGCGTCAGTCGGGGGGGGCTTCATCCCGAGCGAGCCGTGGCCGCGTCAGACACTCTCTCGCGCCACAGTCATAACATTTTCCTGGTGAGGGAATGGGTGAGGAACGAGACGAGCGCCACCGAGGTCCGCCGGGCTCTGAGAGGGGGCCTGAGCGTGAAATACTTGATCCCAGACTCTGTGATAGAATATATTCACCAGCACAACCTCTACACGGAGGACAGCGAGAGGAGAAATAAGGGCACAGTGCTGAGGCCGCTCGCCAAACAGGCAACACAGCCAGGGAAGAGTCTGGATGACTGATAGCTGAGCATGAAGGCCTTGAAGTGTGAACTCACTCACAGATCAGTGCTTCTCTTCAGGGACTGGACGCTCGGCTAACTTCCACTGGACTGCAGAGTGATAGAGCTCTGCACATCCTGCTAAGAGACACACAATGGCCCAAATGTGTTTTTCCAGGCATCACTTGTTGTTAGTAAGAACATTTTCACCGTGCTGTGGTGTGTTTTCAATCATACACTTGGAGTGTTGCGAACACTGAGCCTCATCTTTGTGCCACAGGGCCAATAAACATTTGTAGTTTTTGTAGTGTACTTGTAGTTTTACATATCACACCATTGCAGAGTTGGATACATTTAAATAAAATACTATATATTTAAAGTATTTAAGTCTGACTGGTGTTTTTCCGTTGCAGCTCTCAGCATTTAAGACATTATAAGGTAATGAGTCCACATCCTCCTAACAACCCAAATACCTAATATATGTATAAAATACAACTCATGCGACCCTTTTAGAGATACAATTATAAACCGTTATTTAAACAGTGACAGGCTTTCCATTTTACAATAAGAGCTAACAAACAATTGATTTTCACAAGAACAAACAATTGATGTTCCTTCTTTTCTTAAAAGCAGCCAACATGGGAAATCATTTCACAATAGACAATGGTTGTGGAATGTAGTTCAAGGTGCGAAATCCATTTAATAGTTCAAGGTGCGAAATCCATTTAATAGTTCAAGGTGCGAAATCCATTTAAATGTGTCAAAGTTGTTTTTAAAACTGACACAATGGTGTGAATTTTGTTTCATAAATGTGTGATTATCCTGGAGAAATCTTATATTTATGTATACATTATTTGGGCCTTATATCTGAAAACCTAAGGATCTGCTTTTGAAATGCAGCCGTGTGTTGTGTATATTTTATGTATATTAGATTGTGTGCATTAGTCCCAAGGCTACCAAAACTCCCCATGTGTACATTTTTAATTGAAGAATACTAGATACTGTTTTAAATTTGCTCACATATAAAGATCATTGTTAGTGTTTCTACTCTGCAGCAGCCTCCAAACAGCAATTTATTGTGGAGCTATTCAGTTCCCCAATTATCATCCACACACTGCGTCTGTGAGCCTGTGTTTTTTTTCTTCCACCAAACGATTTAAAGTAATCCTGACAGTTGCTCAGCTACAGAAGGTGTTTTTTCATTGAGGCCAATGGCTGAAAGCGCCACTGTGACTGATACTGACTGGCATCCTTTGAGCGGTGGTGTGTCTTTGTGTGTGTCTTTGTCTGTGTCCCAGTCAGCAAAGGATTTAGACAGTTGGTTTGCTGCAGCTAGCCTTTTAAAAGAGATTATCAAATTAATTGAGTTATTTAGGCGAAACAAAAGTGGTGACAGTCCCTATTGTGCTACATTTAATTGTTTCAGTTGGATCCTTTTAAGCTCAGGTGGTTCTGCTTTTGTATTTCGCTGCATATTATTCACACTGTGTGCTTTACATCCACTTGCTGATACGTAATAGAACTTTGTATGATTTCACTCCATTAGGCTGATTGGTTTTTGCCCTGTATGTTGATTATTACTCTGATTGATTATAAGATATTACTAATCTTATACAACAGAACTATGCCAAATCTGCCACACGTGGAACTCCCTATAAGTGCGCTTGTGTCAATTAATAAAGGAAGTGTATTCATCCTAATCCCAAATAGATGGAGTAAGCACTCTCTAACATAAAGCTACTCCACATTATGTATGCATGCCTCATTTTCCCAGCATCCAATATGCTGGAATAGCGTGGTGAGGATTGAGTGTTACGTGGAGGGGGAGTGGGAGGTAATCGGATTAAAGTGAATTTGGTTCAAATTGAGGCTTTTGACAGCAGGTTCTGCACTCTGGAGCAAGTAGCTGTCCACAGCAGACCTCTTCATCATTCACTGGGAGTAAAGAGAGCAGCAACCGCCAACATGCCAGTCGATTTGAACGGATATTGGAAAATGATTTCCAGCGATAACTTCGAGGACTACCTGAAGGCTCTTGGTGAGTTTGCAGCAGGGGAGAGTGGAGGACAGGCCTACTAAAGAGAGAGGCAAGGGGGGAAATGTTTCATCACTGGAGCTTTTAATAGCAAAGTAGTTATTGTAAACCTATAAATACAGTACTACTATTTCAACTTTAGTTAAGCGAGATTGCAGCTATTGCACGATGTAGTACATTAATGAGAGAAATCCACATTTGTTGACATAATTAATATCTTCCAATTACTTTTATATAAAAACTATAGAATACAAAATCATTGTTTATTAAAAAAATACAACTCAACAGAAATGGACCAAATTACCATAACTGAATAAAAAGTATGTCTTAAGGGAAAAGTGTATGTGCTTTGAACTGTATTAGTCTATTGAAACAGAGAGTTTCTCATGTTTCTGACTGGTTTTCTCACCCTTCTCTGGAACCCGTTGCAGATGTAAATGTTGCCATCAGGAAAATTGCCACCTTGTTGAAGCCTGATAAGGACATTTCCCACGTTGGGGACCACATAGTCATCAAAACCCTCAGCACATTCAAAAACTACAACATGGACTTCCATGTGGGCAAGGAGTTTGAGGAGGATCTGTCTGGAGTGGATGACAGGAAATGCATGGTGAGAATGTTTAGACAATGTAACCAGAAGGGGTTTATTATAAATACTAATTAATGTGCTGTATCACACTTTTGAGAAACCTATTGAACCTTACCGGCTTCATCTTAGTGCAAATCCTGTGTGCATATAAACTAACAGTTCTGTTTGGCACACCTCCAGACTGTAATGAGCATATGGTGTAGTGAGACTGTATACAAAACCCCATCTACTTACAAAACGTTCTTTAAACTTCTCACACTCAATGTGAATGAACTGCTGTGAGACCGGTGTCGGATACCGCAGGAAAAGAAAGTGAGAGAGAAAGAGAAATAAGTAGAGACTCAAGTTCTTTTAATCAGATTATGTCCCTGAATACTGAATAGGATCAAAGATTATCTGGGGTCCCCCTTGAAAAGCTTTTTTATATGCTGATTATAGAAAAGCTGTTTGGAGGGTGGCTGAGAGAAAAGGGTCATGTGTGTCTGTATTTGCAGATATCGGAATCGTTATTTATGGGAAAATGTTTAACATACCTCTATGTATATGTGCATGCATCTGCATTGATTTGAAAAACTTCTACACTAGTGCATGATGTGCTATAATCCCATTTTCCTCCTGGCCTCATGCAGACCACCATCTCTTGGGATGGAGACAAGCTGGTGTGTGTGCAGAAGGGGGAGATAGAAGGGAGAGGCTGGACCCACTGGGTGGATGGAGATGAGCTTCATCTGGTAAGAAAACATCAGCTTCTGCCATGAATAATAATTTATGCAATTTGGACACTTTAATCCAAATCCAAAATGCCTCTTAGCACAGTATGTGCGGTGCATTTATTATAATGTGTGACTCTTGAATTAGCCCACAAGCTCCAGCAGTGCAATTTATTGTGTGAACTGCATGTGTATGATACTAATTTACTGCCAAGTAAATCATATATGTTTACCCCTAAAGTAACTGTTTTAAGAGGAAAAACACACTTGTATATTCTAATTCTTAAGCGTTCCAGTGATCAAGCACATAACAGCCACGTTATTATCTTGACTTTCCAATCTAATTTCTGTTAGAAGAACTTCAATAACTTTCTCTCCTCCTAAATTCACAGTGAGGCATGTAATGAAAGCATTAGCATCTGAAAAGACTTTAAAGTAATGGCTATCACATTACCATTTTCATTAGCTCAGCATTATCAGATTACCCTCTGTGTGATTACTGCTATCAAAGCTAGGCACAAAATGATCTGCCAAATGATCTGGTATATGCTATGCCAACAGATGTTTTCAATCAGCGGGCATGAAATTAGATATTAGTTGGAAGTTTCCTAGAGCTGGCAGAGGGTTATGAATGTTGCGCAACAGTGGCCTCTGGTGGCAGAAAACTCTTTGCAATTTGGATGGTCGAAAGGATTCTATCAAACTGTTGCTGCCCTTTAAAATCCCCCTTAATTAAACTGAATACTGAACTGTGAATGACCTCTTGAATAATATACTAATAATTAACATATCCTCAGAACCTACCATCTATTTAATGTTGCTATGTTAGTCAAAGGTTTGTCTGTGATTGTAAGAAGTACAGTAGACAGTAGGGCTTAAGATCTATAATTCTCCTGGTCATTTTCATTGGTCAATATTACATTCTGAGTCAGATCTAAAAATATCTAAAACAAATGTATTGTCTGTTGTTACCTGCAGGAGCTGAGAGCCGGTGGAGTTGTTAGCCAGCAGGTGTTCAAGAAGTCCTAAACTGGCTCTAACTGAACAGGATTGCGCCCCCGGTTGACATCGGCCTAAACAGACACACCAGAAACATCCCATGCCTCTGACATCCAATCCTACATCTCTCCATAATGTCCATCTATACATGTGTTTTGCTGTATTGAAAATGTCATGAAACACACAGTTATATTCCATCATAACTACTTTTCCAAAGCAAATTCAGAGGGGCAGGGGCATTATGTATCATGTAACATCACAACATGCAATACTCTATCTGTCTCAGGGTGGGAGCTCTTTTGATTAACAGTTTAGAAGTGTTGGCTGCATGCATACTGCTACTGGAGGTGAAACTAATCTGAAATGACCTAAAGTGATGAATGGCATTGAAGACAAGAGAGCGTGGGTTAATCCCATTTTAGTTCCCTTAAAAATTGCTTTGGATGGCAAAAAATACAAATCTGAGTGTGTTTGAGGGCTGTAAACTTCTTCACTACTGATGCTTAGTCTCCAGAATGGATATATATGTAATGATGTGTATTTATCCCTCCCAGTTCCTTTGGGAATGTGCCAATATAGTAAAATGAATGAATCAATAAAGTAAACAATGCTTAATTATGTCAGTTGTCTTTGTCTGAGAGCCACTGCCATTTATTTTGTTAATTAGACTTGTTAGATTTGGAATGTATTCGTTTGGTAGTTCAGTCATACAAAACATAAATTATTGCTTATCATTAATCCAAGTTTCTCAGGCCAACACATCAGCTGTGGTAGCTCTTTTTATCTAAAAATTAGGGCTGTCAGTCGATTAAAAATATTTAATCGCGATTAATCGCATGATTGTCCATAGTTAATCGCGATTAATCGCAAATTAATCGCACATTTTTTATCTGTTCTAAATGTACCTTAGAGGGATATTTTTCAAGTTTTTAATACTCTTATCAACATATGAGTGGACAAATATGCTTTATATGTTTGTTTATTATCATTTGAACAATGACAAATATTCTCATGAATATTAAACACAACAACCTCTGAACATTACAAATATTCGCCTCAATTCAACCTGGAACCTCTCTCATACAATAATACTGTGTGTATGTGTGTGTGTGTGTGTGTGTGTGTGTACACTGATGAATCGTTGGAGCTATGTGCAGCTCAAGGCATAATATACTCGAATGGGAGCTGCCTGGACGCTGCAATCATGTTGCGCGTACTATCCGTGCTGAGTGTGCTGACTTTTCGTACAATGTCCCACTGCATAAAGTCAAGTGCTCGGCGCAGTTGTCGGCGAAATGTCATTGAAACAGCTCCTTATATCCGTTAGCGCAGCGAGCTAGCACCAGATGCTAACAACAACAACACGTAAGGTGTGCCTCGCTCGCGCGAGTCGCGCCACACATACACACTCCCTCCCGGTCCTCCCGATGGCCAGTCCGGGCCTGCCGGTGAGCGTGGAAGTGTGGTCTGCCACAAGCGGGCGGCAGGAGCGGGGCTGTCAGCATCAGCTTGTCGATGGTATTCACTCGATGCGCTCTGAAACTACGGCGGCCGAGGACAAAAAATACACATGCGTTAATCGCGTTAAAATAATTAGTGGCGTTAATTTTTTTTTGCGTTAACGCGTTATTAACGCGTTAACTTGACAGCCCTACTAAAAATGCTTTTACAGACTTGCACAAGGTCTATCATGGCCTCTGCTTGAGAGTTTCAGTGAGTGAAGTGAAGCCTGCGGAGCTGTGGCCAGACAACTCGAGCCCCGCTGTGCTCTGAATCAGCTAATCTGTCAACTCACTCTGTGCATTGCCATTAGCAATTGGGCAGTCAGCTGTCCAACTCACTTGCTCATTCTTTGCTGCTGCTGCTCGCTCTGCGGTTCAGCGTCCTGCCGCTTTTTGTGCATTCACAACCTGCCAATCCCTGCATCTACCTGCAGGCTCTGATTATGTATGGTTCCACAGGGGGCTGTTATTGATCTCTCCCTGCTCTGGCTATGGCTGGTTACAAAAAATGATGGTCTCAGGGAGGTGGCCCAAACAGAGTCTGGCGCCAGGCTGAAATCTCCATTTGCATTTGTTCTCAATAAAACATTTCTACTGAGTGCAAGTCTGGACTGGAGGAAGGTCAGTTACTCAACTCATATTTTGACCAGCAATCAACAGACAGGAGAGGATTTTAAGCCATTGCTCAATTTAAAAGTTCCACTATGCTAGAAAATGTGTTTCTTTTGGCTGTTTAACCTTCACTTTGCAGAATGATGTAAGTGCAGAATTTTACACTGTGAAACAGTTTTGACATTAATCTGCTGAAAGCTTAACCGTGCTCACTGTTAGGAAAATATCACTCGACACCAGGTTGAGAATCAATAATCAGGTAGCCTACTAATTTATTCTTGCAAGAAGGAGCAGAGTTAAATCACATACAAAGGATATGGTTTAACTCACACACATGGGGTATGTTGCTCAACGGAGCAGGAAAAACATCAGGCTTATATAGTCCAAAATACAGGAGATAACAACAAAGTCGTAAATCGAGGTGGCGCTAATATCAGCCGCGGGTGTCGGAAAAGCGTCGGGTCATCTGCGATGGGTCATCTGTGACGTCTTCTGGACTTCCTTCACGCCTCATAGAAATTAGATATGTAGGAGACAACAAGTATGTGTCTGTCTCCTCATAAAGATCAACAACCTGAAATGCCCTGCCTCCTCCTATCACAAGAAGAGGCAGCTGCAAGGTCGTACACAGTTCAGAATCACACATGATATCAGTGCATTAAAACAAACCCAAAGAGGAGACAACAGTATTTTCTCCAACACTCACCTTTAATATGGTGTTTAGCTTTGTACAGTTTAGGACCACACATGATTATGTGAACTCACAACAAACTTGCAAAACAAATCATTCTTACATGGACACATAATATCATATCATATTGTACCGAGAGAATGGATGGTGAAGTCGTGTGTCCAGTGGTTTAAGTAAAGACTTTAGTCCTGGTTGATTTAGTGACTCCTGTGGTAACTGGGTGTATTTCTGTGAATATTTTAGGGGTTGCACCACTGACAATGCGTATACCATATAGAAAGTTATATAGTGAGTGTGTGACCATTTAATGCCTATTAGTTTATTTGCCAACATAAATTGTATCAACATTTGAGTTTGATATGATGAAAATCACAAGGATTATAACTTGAAACTTTAAAAAAACCATAACAGAAAGAAATTATTATTCACAATCAATGCATTCATTGAATTATTTCACATAAGTCACAAATGCTTGACCTTTTTTAAACTAGTTGAACTCCAGTTACCTCTTTGGTCACATTTCTAGGTATTCTGGATCAGCAGTTGTACATGCCACAGAGAAGAACAAATAAAGAGCACACACTGTTGGCAGATGTTACAAAACAACTTCTCCGTCTGTACATTGTACACTGAAACATCAGGGCAGTGTCTCCATGTGTACGTGTGTAAAGGTGCATGTGAGAGAAAGCTTGCTGTGTGTGTGTGTGTGTGTGTGTGTGTGTGTGTGTGTGTGTGTGTGTGTGTGTGTGTGTGTGTGTGTGTGTGTGTGTGTGTGTGTGTGTGTGTGTGTGTGTGTGTGTGTGTGTGTGTGTGCACCCACATAAATGCCTATCGCAAGCCCCTCCAATGACCATGTAAAGACGGGAAGAGAAGGGTGAGTCCCCCCCTCCCGCTCCAAAAACAACTACCACTGCCAATCCTGTTCAAGCCATAAACCCACTTATCAATAGTTATCTGCCCTCATTGCCCCTGATTCTATAAAAGCAGGAGGACACCCTGCACCTTTCCCCTCTATACACTGTCTAAAGTCTACACACACATCAGCGTCACCAGCTGCCATCATGCCTGCAGACTTCAGTGGGAAATGGATACTGGAGAACAATGACATATTTGAGGAGTATTTGAAAGTGTTGGGTAAGAAATGTTTAATTTAGGTCTGGGATGTCTTAGTGATGTGTTAAGTGATGTTACAGGTTGAGCAGCGGAAGAGACATATGTATCCAATCCCATGCATCTGTAAATATTGTTTTTTTTGTACAGTTCAATGTATTCTGTGGCTAATGCAACAAAGTTATTCTAAGGTTATTTCACCCCAGATTCTTATGTAAACACTTGTATGATGTCAACTACTAAAATGCTCTCAATATTGCATCCCTGTAAAATATAATGTATGCACTACTATAATCTGTCTTCTCTGGAAAGATGTCTTAATTCACTCTCTGTATTCTGGCTCCAGACATTGACTTTGCTACAAGGAAAATTGCCATCTCCCTGTCTCAGACCAAAGTTATATCCCAAGATGAAGACAAGTTTACCGTCAAAACGCTGAGCACCTTCAGGAATTATGAACTCTCCTTCACTGTAGGGGTAGAGTTTGACGAGCACACCAAGGGACTAGACAACCGAAACATCAAGGTGGGTTGACCTCTCAGATACGGAGTCCTTGAAGTGAAAAATAAGTCAGTGATAGTTTATCTGATGACTCAATGTTTTTCATATTGCCTGGTTGCTTTTCAGACAGTGAGAACATGTTATGTAAGTGTGTGCGGGGCAATGGTTGGTCTCTGTGTGTATTATCAAGTCAAGGAAAGAGAGGGGGGGGGCTCTCATTATGACATCCAATAGCTTTGTTCCACAAAATGGCGTGCTAATGGTGCTTCAGTTACTTGCAGGCATATTTGCATTGATTATCAAGCTGCAAGTAAGAAGAAGATGTTGTTTAAAGAGTTAAATTAAATGTAATAAGACTTGTGAAATAAGGGAAAGCATCACATTTTAGAGGCGAGTAAAATAACTAATAATGAATTAAGGTTATTTGTTGATAGTATCCTACTATTTTGAAACATTATCAGCATAATAGTAAGAATTTTCACTTATACGACATAGCGACTGATACATGTCTTTATGAAGTCTACACTTAGCACTTGTTTCATCCAGTGCTAATTACACAACGGGATGAAAGCAAGCCTAAATTGTCTTCTAAATGGTCCACAATCTTCGTGGTGGCAGTAACCTTTAAGTCAGAACATTGAGCATGTTTGTTGTCATTTCATTTCATTTCAAACCTTTATTTAACCAGATTGGTCCTATTGAGATCATAGATCTCTTTTTCAAGGGAGACCTGCAAAGGTAGTAAAGGTAGTGATGGAATTTAAAGAGGATTTATATTAGTGACAGGGGAATCTTTTTTTTTGACTACACTCTTAAGTTATTTACTTTTGAATGTACATTAAATATTAAATTAAAGTATTTCATAAATGCACTTTGTGACTTCTTGTAGTGTCTTGTGACCTGGGAGGGGGACAAGCTGGTGTGCACGCAGAAAGGAGAGAAGGCTAACCGTGGCTGGAAACACTGGATCGAAGGAGACAAACTCTTCCTGGTGGGTTGACAGTATCTGTCATGATAATTAGATTTCTGCTGAATGATTTGAACCAGAACACGGCCTGATGATGAATAAAAGAGAAATGTGTTGGATTAGTAGGATGTATTGCACAGCAGAATGTGATTATTGAGTATGATGAGGACACTGTTATTGCTCTCATTTTTCTCTAATTATCCTTCTTTCCTCCCACAGGAGCTGACGTGTGAAGATGTAGTTTGTGTGCAGGTGTTCAAGAGAAAAGCATAAACGGAAATATCTGGGTTTTTTGTATTTGCACATACTCCTCAATAACATGTTTTCCCAAACGTATACAAACAAAATGAATAAAAGTGCTTTTCAGAATGACGTGTTGTGTATTAATAGAGACAAACCTGATTTTCTAATGAATTTTCTAATAACATTTCACCTCACATAAGGTGGCTGAAAGTGTATCAACAAATCTTTTTGTTCCCTGTACAACACTTGATAATAACTATAACAACCTAAAATACCTCTTCATTATGGAGTGTGACAGCATGCAATGCAGTCACATCCTGCACAAAAGACTAATAAGCTCACTTTAAGAAGGGTTATAATAACACTGTTTTACACATTTTATAAAACACATCCTCCACAGGGGCCTTTTAAAACCAAATGTTTATATCGCCATCTGCTGGAAAAGAATGGTGGTATCCTTTAAGAAGACATCTAATAATAATATAACACAAAACAGAGATCTAAGCATCAGACACTTCAACTCTGTTAATATGAAATTAGGTGGGAGGACGGAGGGTATAAAATGATATTTTTAACCTTATTCACGATAAAGTAGTAACAAGTGAAGCATCGATACCTTCTACCGGTATATCCTAGTTAAAAATCGGATAGCAATATGTTGTGAAATGTGGAAAAGACCCAGAATCTCTTCGAAGTAGGGCACGTTTATTCTCACTTTATTATTAATTTGTGGCTGTGGTGTCAGCTGCTCCAGCAGACCTTCATGTCACGTCACCACTTCCAGAGCGCAACTCACGCGAGATTGAGATTCAGGAAGTTCCACGTCAGTATCCAGTGCTCCGTTCACTGAAGTCGCAACATTTGGACCCCGTTTTCAACTAATTTATCTTATTTTATTGTGACACAAAGGGGATAAAACATGGTAAGAGATATTTAGAATAGTTACCAGCATGTTGTTGTTCCATACAGGTCTTCCACGGGTCCTGGTATAGTTTTTAAAAGGACCGTGAAACTGTCAAATAATAATGCACTATTGTAAATAGCTTAACGGCTAACTAGCTTGAGTTAGCCTGAAAGATTGTAGCTAACAGATGTTAATATTCAGGATGATGGCTGTTTGGAAGATTTATTTTTTGTTAACAGTTATTTTGAATCAGTTATCGAAAGAACTCCTACATGATGCATACGTTAAAAAAAATTGGTAGCATTACAATATACGAGGCTAAATGTTATGTTAGCATGCTAACGGTTACGTTGGCTTTATTACGTTACCTTTAATTCTTGGTCTTTTCTCGAACGCTGAGGAGTTTTTAACAGATAATGAAATGCCCATGAAGTGTTGAGTATAAACGACATAGAAAAGACACCGATCTCCTATGTTTTTTTTCAGCCTCTGCGGCTGGATATTAAGCGGAGGCTGACAGCCAGGTCAGACAGGGTGAAGAGTGTGGACCTTCACCCAACTGAGCCATGGATGCTGGCTAGTCTGTACAACGGCAGTGTCTGTGTGTGGAACCACGAAACACAGGTACGATCAGTAACACAGTATAGAAACAGTAATGACTAAACAACCAAACTGCATAAATATGTCATTTTATAGTAATATACTGACTTAAAATACACACAAGGGCATGATGATGATGATGATGATGATGATGATGATGATGATGATGATGCAACCCAATTCAGTAATTTTCTTTTCCCCCAGACTCTTGTCAAGACGTTTGAAGTATGTGACCTCCCTGTCCGAGCTTCTAAGTTTGTGGCAAGGAAGCACTGGGTCATCACAGGAGCAGTGAGTTACATCCATTGTTTGTTTTCCCAACTCTCACAGCTGTCATCTATAACAACAGCATTTTTGTATAAACCTGACAGTATTATCTCGCAGAGGTTTAATTTAGTGTTGTTTTTTTATGTGGGCATGTGCAACGTCTTAACAGTAAAGCTTTACATATATTTAATTATGTGTGTGTCACAGTTGGAATGTACAGATACCCTACTATACAACAGCATATACCAATTGCATTTGTTAGAACATATATTTTGGTCTTTTGTATATAATCTTTTTATGAACTTGCACTGCGTATACTGCTATGATTCAATGTTTTTTTTCTCCCCACGCAGGATGACATGCAGATCCGAGTGTTCAACTACAACACCCTGGAGCGTGTCCACATGTTTGAGGCCCACTCTGACTACATCCGTTGCATTGCTGTCCATCCGACCCAGCCCTATATCCTCACCAGCAGTGGTACGCTTGTAAACTAAGTACATTGATACACTTAAAATGCAAAGGCATTTGAATACTAGGGTCTTCAATTGCATTTGCATTGTGTGCAAAACATCATGAATTTATTTTCTATTTCTTTGCAGATGACATGTTGATCAAGCTATGGGACTGGGAGAAGAAGTGGTCTTGCAGCCAGGTGTTTGAGGGGCACACTCACTATGTGATGCAGATTGTCATCAACCCCAAGGACAACAACCAGTTTGCCAGCGCCTCTCTGGACAGGACCATTAAAGTAGGGCCACTTGCTGTTGTCACATTTACTGCTGCTAAATGTATCTTGTCGTTGGGTTAGTACTGCAGATTCTACTGCGGTCCTGCAACTTTTTTTAATGACAATACATTAGGCACATCCTTGCCTTTTTAAATAAACATATATTTAAAGGTCTGTGTCTAAGGTGCATCGAGTGATTCTGGTTCCTCTGGGTTTTTTAAGGTTTGGCAGCTAGGCTCTTCGTCTCCTAACTTCACCCTGGAGGGTCACGAGAAAGGAGTCAATTGTATTGACTACTACAGTGGAGGAGACAAGCCTTACCTCATCTCAGGGGCTGATGACCGCCAAGTAAAGATCTGGGACTACCAGGTTAGAAAATGTTTTCCTTATTTTATTCACTGCTATATATCTAGTGTATTAATACACCTGAATTTTGATTTCACATTCTAGTATATTATAAATAGTACACAGTGCAATTAAATATGTTGAATCAAATCTAATATTATAAGAACAGGTTAATTTCCTGCTGTCTTGTATTACATGTGTTAAATACATAGCTTTACAAACAATTAAAGCTTACTAAAATAGTTGATTGTTCTTTAAAGCATGTCGTTTTTCCTCATTATTCTGCTCTGTCCTTCCTATGAGCATCCTGTGGCATTGTGTTTGTACCTCTTTAACAGTCTTCCTCTGTATGTTGCAGAACAAGACCTGTGTTCAGACTCTGGAGGGCCACGCCCAGAACGTCTCTTGTGTCAGCTTCCACCCCGAGCTGCCCATCATCATCACTGGATCAGAGGACGGTGAGCAGGAAACATACTTATCCTCACCTCTATAGGAAAAAAAACCTCAAGAATGCATTTCACCCAGTGGCCTCATTGATCATTTCTTTATGCTACTTTACCTCTTTCCTCTGTAGGTACTGTTCGCATCTGGCACTCAAGCACTTACCGCCTGGAGAGCACTCTCAACTATGGCATGGAGAGAGTGTGGTGTGTGTGCGGCCTCAGGGGCTCCAACAATGTGGCACTGGGCTACGATGAAGGCAGCATCATCATCAAGGTGAACGGAAGAGATAGTTATTTTTAAAAGTACTTTGATTGTAAATAAACTTAACTATATATACAATACTACTAAAAAAGGGGGGAAATAGTTTATCTGTAAAAGACATCCAGATTAAATATATTATAGTTGTATCCAAACCTAAAATATTTGTGATCTGTCTCCCTCTGCTGTGTAGGTGGGTCGGGAGGAGCCGGCTATGTCTATGGACACCAACGGAAAAATCATCTGGGCTAAACACAGTGAAGTACAGCAAGCTAACCTTAAAGCCATGGGTGATGCTGAGATCAAGGACGGCGAGAGGCTGCCTCTGGCTGTCAAAGACATGGGCAGCTGTGAGATTTACCCTCAAACCATCCAGCATAACCCCAACGGAAGGTACGCATACACTCACCCAGGCCCTTTGACTGGTTATTGTTATTTCACAAACATGTCACCATCTTCGTTAGCCAGATTAGAGGTGAATTTTCCATATGATATCTGTCAGTCATTTATGCATTTTTCTGTGCACCAGGTTTGTTGTGGTGTGTGGAGATGGAGAGTACATCATCTATACTGCCATGGCTTTGAGGAACAAGAGCTTCGGCTCAGCGCAGGAGTTTGTCTGGGCACATGACTCATCTGAGTATGCCATCAGGGAAAGCAACAGTATCGTCAAAATCTTCAAAAACTTCAAAGAGAAGAAATCTTTCAAGCCTGACTTTGGAGCTGAAGGTAACGTTAACAGTGCTTTATAGTAGACTTCGGTTCAGGAAGTGGATTGTTCCCACTGTCTGACTCCCTGGATGTGTTCCCATTCTCCCCTGCAGGGATCTATGGAGGTTTCTTGCTTGGGGTGAGGTCAGTGAATGGCCTGGCATTTTATGACTGGGAGAACACAGAGCTGGTCCGCCGTATCGAGATCCAGCCCAAACACGTAAGACTGACTCATTTTGTATTTCAAGTCTTGATCTCTGTTTGATATAAATGTTGTCATTGGAAGTCATTTACCAATTTCATAGTGATAACATTTTAGTGTTTGGTTTCTATTCTTACTCTTTTTCATATTTTACCCAGATCTTCTGGTCCGACTCTGGTGAACTGGTCTGCATCGCTACTGAGGAGTCCTTCTTCATTCTGCGTTATATGTCAGAAAAAGTAGCCGCTTCTCAAGAAAACAATGAAGGAGTGACCGAGGATGGTATCGAAGATGCCTTTGAGGTTGGTTGTTTTAACTTTCATTGCTACAAATATTATTGAGTCTTGTATAGAAGTATCCCAGCGCTATGTAACTAGAAAAAATATGTGTTCTTCAATTTAAAACTATACCTTACATCTTTTTTCTTATGTCCAGGTCCAGGGAGAGATCCAGGAGATTGTGAAGACTGGACTCTGGGTTGGAGACTGCTTCATCTACACCAGCTCTGTGAACCGACTCAACTACTATGTAGGAGGAGAGATCGTCACTATTGCTCACCTGGACAGGTACACATACAGTACATACATTTACAGCTTTTAAGTCCAGAAAAATAGTTTGTTTGATTGCTGTGAAGGATTCTTCATCTTTACACCTATTATCTTCTC